GATCAATGCTAACCTGAATACTTGAAGGGGACCCTCTGTGGATCTCCACGTTCTTTGTGCAGCTCTCTTTTGTCGACCCTTCTGTTGCTTGGGTTCTAGTCACTGTGGTCTCCTCAGACTCTTGGTATTTTCTCTTCAACTCAAACGTGGGGACTCTGTAGGGCTCCACCTGTATTCCTCCTCCTTATGTTCCAGTCTGGAGACTCTCTTAAGGCTGTAAGCTTGGGCAATCACAGGGCTTATCTTGCTTGTTTTCAGTGTCTCAGGAATCACTGTCCTTCAATGCCTGATGTTCATTGTCTTCAAAACTGTTGTTGATTTCTTTCTTCCTCTCTTTTGGTTTTAGGTGGGAGCTAAATCTGGTCTTTATACTCCATCTTAGTCAGAAATAGATATGCTTTTTATTTTAATTTAATTTTACTTTATAATTGTGTAAAATATTTGCATGGTTCTAATGGTATATTATGAGAAAGTCTAGCGTATCTTCACTTTTACCCTGTTTCTTCTTCCTATAGGCAATTCCTCTTCTTCCTTCTCTTTTTCTTCTTGCTATTATTATTTTATTTTTGCTCTCTCTAGGTAATTTTTTTTTTTTTAGCTTTTCTCTTATACTCCCTTAAAAAAACATACAAACACACCACACATATATATTTGTCTGAATATGTGTGTATCCCCATTTGTTAAATAAATGATAGTGTGTTATATACATAACAGCCATCCTTTATTATCCACTGGGAATTGGTTCTAGGACCCCAGAAGGTACCAAAATCTGTGGGTGCTCAAGTCCCTTATATAAAATGGCATAGGCATATTTGCATATAACCTACACACATTCTCCCATATTCCTTAAATCATTTTTAGATTACTTATAATACCTAATACAATGTAAATGCTATGTAAATAGTTGTTATACTGTATTTTTAAAAAAATGTATTTTAAATTGTTGTATTGTCATTTTCTATTTGGAAACTTTGATCCTGTTACCTGGTTCTGAGCAGGGGTAGTCACTACCTCTTTCCTACAACTCTTGTTCCTCTTTAGTTCCTCGTCTTCTTGGTTAGCTCCCCTTCAAACCCAAGCAGATATATGGGATGCAGGATTGGGATGTAGCTGTTTGCTGCTGGAACAGAGGGTGGACAAATTGGTATAACTTACAGGAAGATAGATTTTGATTCAAAATAAGGTCATGGTGAATCTCTTTATCACAGTAAGAGTTGGCCGACAGTGGGACACTCTGTCCTGTGACGTAATAAATTCTTCATTGAAGGGAAGTTTCAGGGGCAGCTGCGGGTCCACCTCTCTGAGATCCTGCAGGGAGAGGGCCTTTCCCTGGGAGGGCTTGAACTGCAGTTCAGCTCTGGATGGGGAAAGATGAAACTACTTCAGTTTTTTTCTTCCCCATTTCAATTGCTGTTCCTATCCCATATCATCCTCCCTCTTTCCCTCCCTCCCTCCCTCCTTCCCTCCCTCCCTCCCTTCTTTCCTTCCTTCCTTCCTTCCTTCCTTCCTTCCTTCCTTCCTTCCTTCCTTCCGTACGTCCGTCCGTCCTTCCTTCCTTCCTTCTTTCTTTCTCTCTTTCTCTCTTTCTTTCTTCTTGACAGAATCTTGCTCTGTCATGTAGGCTGGAGTGCAGTGGGTTCAACCCTCCTGGGTTCAAGCAGTTCTCCTGCCTCAGCCTCCCAAGTAGCTGAGATTACAGGCATGCACCACCACACCGGCTAATTTTTGTATTTTTGGTAGAGGTGAGGTTTCACCATGTTGGCCAGACTGGTCTTGAACTCCTGGGCATAAGTGATCTGCCAGCCTTGGCTTCCCAAAAGTGCTGGGATTACAGACATCAGCCACTGTACCCGGCCACTCTTCCCTCTCTTTTCTCTCCCATTTCATCTTCTAAATTTTGCATAGCTCATGCTTTGTCTGTGAGAGATGCCCAGAACCCTCAGGATCCACCTGCTGAACTTGTGCAGTGTACGTTACCAGCTATATTCATCTGCTGACCATAAAGGCATCAAGCCTTTCATTGCCAGATGTTTCCATGGAGCCAGTTCTCTCAGCAAGTGTGTGAGTTTCTGATTGTGTGTGTGTCTGTGTGCATCACGTTTGTGCTTACACATGGGCATGAGTGTTGTAGCTGGAGTTGCAGCTCAAAATAACAGAAAAGGAGTTTGCTCAGTGGGGTATGTGAAGTGATGGGTAGCAGTGGCCTTAGTTACCGGGGAAGACTGGTTTCCCCTCTTGTCTTCGGCCACTTGTTTCCCCTCCTTCATATCCCCTCCCCAGCCCTGGGCTCACTCCCCAAGGTTAATTTTCCTCACAGCAGCTGTGACTCCATCCTCCTTCCCCACCTCCATCTACCACACATGCACACACACGAACACATATGCACACACACACACACGCTTTGAGTTATGTGCCTCCTGTTCTAATGAGATAAACAACATAAGTCTCATGGGGCCCTGCTCTTCCCTCTGTAAGTGGAACTCCAGCACTGAACGTGTTGTTCCTATAAAGGAACCCTGGTGTCTGTCAGCCTGGTGAGGAGGGCAAGGAAGGGGCCAAGGAGCCCCAGGGGAGCTCTTGGGACCATTTGCTTGTTGTGATGAGGTGGATTCAAAGCAGACATGAAACAGAAGGCTGTTTCTACCCTCATGGCTAAAGAATCAAGTGGCAGCTTGGTGGATGGGGCGGGGGTCCGTCCTGTTGCATGGGTGTGGAGTCCAAGACTAGGTCAGCTAACTTGTGACAGTTAAAAACTGACATCTGTCATCTTTATGGATATAGAGAGCTTTCTCTTGAATATAAGTGAATCCCCATGACAGCCCCTAGGAGGTAGGTATTAATGTTATTAATGCCCTTGTCGTACAGCTGAGGCAATAGGCTCAGAAAGGTGTTAGGATGTTTCCCAGGACTCACGTGCTTTTCCTTTGCACTGCAGAGCGTCTCCGATCCAGCAGAGAAAGAATGAAACAAAAACAGCCCTTTCTTCTGGAGATTCGAACTAGCTGCTAAAATGAATTCTCCCAGAAGAATGGGCCTAAAGCTCCAAGCAGAGTGGCCTGGGGCTTCTCTGGTACCGCTGACCGTCAAGCACAGTGACTGCTGTCTCAGGGAGGGTGTAGGACCTGGTCAAGTGTGGACACTTTTGCACTCTTGCCATGTAGACCTTTGGGGGCTGCTGGTGGGGCCAGCTCGCTCTTACTTACCTGTGTTTGATTGGGTTGGAAGCACCATGAAGCGGCCTCTGGGCTATGAAGGAAACCTAAGGCCCAGAGACGGCCGTGGGAGGAGAGGGGGTGCAGGGAGCTCTGACCTCAGGCCTGAGCCTTCACTTCTGGAGTCCCTCTTGGGTGGTTTGGATCTGGGTGGATGAGTGCCCTGGAGCCAGGAACAGCAGGGCCAATGGTCATTCGATTCTGACATTTCTGAGTGCAGGTCAGCTCTGGATTCTAAGAACCAAGGGCTGGGGAGCTCAGAATCTCCAGCTTGCTCGCAATCTTGCAACCTGTGGAGCAGCTGTGTGATTACACATAAAGAGACCTGAATATTTTCGTTCCTTTAATGCTGGGATAATTGACTCTGTCTTAGACCCATCCCGATAAATGGGTAGAGTTGACTGGTAAAAATGAAAATGAATGAATGAGTATATAGCAATGAAAGTTACATAGATTTTCTCTGCAAAGGTGAAGAATGAAGCCAGTTTCCCTTCTTAACTTTTAAGGGCCCTGAAATGGAAGACAGCAGATGGAAATCAGGTGCTGATGTTTCCTGAGCCCATGGTCCTAGGTGTGTGCAGTGACAATTTTGTGGTAGGCCGCCTGCATCCAGCAGCTGTCATGTGCCACATTTACCTGCAGAAGACAGAGTTGTGACTTTAAAGGGAAGCTGCAACATATTCGTTCATTAATTCAATGAGTATTTAGTTTGGTTCCGCTCTGTGTCGGGCACAGTTCTGATTCTGGGATTTCTGACAAGAACAAGACAGAAAAGTCCTTGTCCTCATTAGGCTTTTCTTCCTATTGGGGGTTGGTTGGCTTGCTGGTTTATTATGGGGATTATTAGACACTCTCTTCAAGACTGCAAATCACCTAGCCAGTCTGAAAATTACCTAGCCAGTCTCAAATACCTGCCTTTTCACCCCTCAGCCTCCTCCCCACCCCATTTCCCTGGGAATAGTCTGTGGCCTAGCATGGAGAAGCCCCTGTTCCTCCAAGGCCTGTGGCTGCCACCGGAGCCACAGAGTTGTTGTCTGGTGAGCAGGAAGGCTCCTCATGGTGCTTGGCATGCAGCATGGTGTCAAAGGCCACTCACACACACGGTGTGGCATGTGAGCCCAGCCCCTGGCCTCCTGCCTGTTTTTTTTTTTTTTGTAAGGCCAGGCACATAGGCTGGGATATAGAGGTATGCGGGCTCTGCAGGTCATGTGGCCTGGTCACCACAGTGGGCTTATGTTCTCATGGGGGCTACACAAGGCTCCATTTGCCTGCAGTGAGCTGCCAGCAGCCGGAGGTGGGAGATGCCTCTGAGTAGATCTAGTGTTTTTGGTTCTGTCTCTTTGCGATGCTTCTCATTCCAGGCTGTCCATACGGTAGGCCAACTGACTACTGCTCCATTTTGAAGGAAACCTGCTTAACCTGGATCCGGATGGAGGGGCGGTGGATAGAGATCCACTGCTTTGGAGACACTGCAAAGGTCCCTCTTGTCTGAAGGTCCAGTTGGTGATCTCTCCAGGCAGGAGAGCAGAATTGGTTTTGGTGAAGGCAATGGCTCTTGTTGGCATGTGCTTGCTGAACAGCATGGTGGAGCTGACAGAGCCAGGGTCCTGGGGTCAGATGACCTAGATTCAGCCTTGCCACTGCCAGCAATCAGCTTCGTGATGTTGACAAGTCACTTCTCTCTGGGCTTCAGCTCCCTCTCCTTGTGAATGACGGGGTTAGTTAGGGTCGTTTCCAAGGCCCCTTCCAGCCTGGAGCCTTTAATCTTTACATTGTCTCTGTCCACAGGCCTTGCCCCGGGCCAACTGTATACGTACCCTGCCCGCTGCTGGCGCAAGAAGAGACGATTGCACCCACCTGAAGATCCAAAGCTGCGGCTGCTGGAGATAAAACCTGGTCAGTGCGCTCTGGAGCTTGGTTGGGTCCGTGATGGGAAAGGTGGGAGGACTGGGCTGGGCCCAGGACAAGGTTGGTTTACTCCTTTGTCCATAGAGCTAAGTTTTCCGGGAGAGGGAACATGCCCACATTGTGCTCAAGGGTGCACCTCTGTGCCTGCTGAGTAGAAACATGACCACGCGTACACCCGAGCTTTTCTCCCCTCTGGGTGTCTCGTGCCTTCCCTTTGCCACCCCAGGGGAGGAAAGCAAGCAAGCAGGAGCAGCATGGGACCAGTTCCAGGATGACTTTCCCGACAGAACTGAAGGCTGTGCAGCTCTTTCGGGTCATGTGATACCTTTCTTGTGGCCTCAAGTAAAGAAATCTTGGCTCAGTTTGTATATTTCTGAGGAGCAGAGAGTACACTGTGGACCCTCTACCCCTTACCCTGTATGAGCTTTGGAGCATCTTACACAAAAAGGGGTCAGTTCACTAAAAATTGCACTTACCTTGGATGCGGATGGAAGAGTTTGAGTTTAAAATTTACCCGAGTGACGCAGATTGCTCTGTGGCCACACAGAAGGAATTGGTGGGGTTATGTTTATACTGATCTAATATATATACATTATTGAGACGGAGTCTAGCTTTGTTGCCCAGGCTGGAGTGCAGTTGTGCGATCTCCGCTCACTGCAACCTCCGCCTCCCGAGTTCAAGTGATTCTCCTACCTCAGCCTCCCAAGTAGCTGGGATTACAAGTGTGCACCACCACTCCCAGCTAATTTTTGTGTTTTTAGTAGAGACAGTGTTTCACCATGTTGGCCAGGCCGGTCTTGAACTCTTGGCCTCAAGCGATCCACCTACCTTGGCCTCCCAAATTGTTGGGATTATAGGCATGAGCCACCGTGCCTGGCCTATGCTAATCTAATATCACACTTCTGACTATGTGGCTGTCTTCAGACCTGTGTCTGTGTTGCAGCAAGTCAAGTGATTACCCTAGGCCCTCAGCTTTAAAGCCATCTTTGTTTTTGAGGGTGCCAGGCTGGGATATGACTCAGGGTGGTAGGGACAGTGCTGTTCAGTGGTGCAAATAGAGTTGACATACTTCCTCCCACTGTCACCAAAGCATTGCAGACTGTCAAGGCTGGCTGCCTGGCAATGGTACCTCACTCCTTCCTTTCAACACTGGTCCCTTAAGCTGACTTTGCTCTGCAAAAGCTCTACCTACAGTTCCAGGGTTACGACTGCTTTGATTGTTCACTTCAATTCACTTGAGTAGAAGTTTTATTTGTTTATTTTATTTGTTAGGGGTGAGTGGGCTCCAGATTCTTCAATATGCTCTCTCTCAGGTCTCTAGGGTCCTTATACCAATTTACAGACCCTTGCAAATACTCCAGGGTGATGACCGAGGTTGTCCCAACCCCCCGCCTTGTTGCAGGTTGTAGGAGATCATCAGGGTCTCCTAGACCAGCACGATGCAATAGAAATATAATGCAAGCCACATGTGTCGTTTTACTTTGTCTACTAGTTACATTAAAAAAAGGAAAAAGAAACAGGGAAATGAATTTCAATCATATATTCCATTTAACTCAACATATCAAAAACATCATTTCAGCATGTCATCAATATAAAAATTATGAGATCGTTTATGATCTTTTTTGGTACTCTTTTTGAATTCCGTTGTGTATTTTACACATCCCCACATCTCTTTTTGGACTAGCCACAGTTCAAGCACTCAGTAGACACATGTGACTAGTGGTGACCGTATTGATCAGTGTGATTCTAGACCTACATTCAAAGTGCGGTCCTGACCAGCAGCGGCAGCATCACCTGGGGCTTGTCAGACGTGCAGAAGCATGGTCCTCGCTCCCGACCTGCTGCATTTTATCATGATCTCCTGGAGTGCATCCCCAGAATGCATGATGAAGTGTGAGAAATGCTGGTCTCGAAGACTTATAGGTAGCTAGACTACAAGTCACCCTGGCATGACCATAAGCACGAAAAAAGTCTTACGTAATTTTTAAATTAAAAACTTTTAAAATTTATTTGACTTTGAGTAGGTAATACAGTTACATGTACAGTTTTTATTTTATTTTATGTTTTTATTTTTGTTTAGAGGATAGGGTCACACTCTGTTGCCCAGTCTGGTGTGCAGTGGCTCCAAAGAGCTCACTATAGCCTCCAACTCCTGAGCTCAAGCGCTCCTTCCACCTTAGCCTCCTCAGTATGTGGGAACTACAAGTGCATGCCACCATGTCTGGCTAATTTTGTCTTTTCTGTAGAGACAAGGTCTCACTCTGCTACTCAGGCTAGTCTTAAACTCCTGGCTTCAGATAATCCTCCTGCCTCGGTCTCCCAGAATGCTGATTACAGGCAGGAGCTACTGTGCCTGGCAGTTACATATTTTGACATTCAAAAGATAAAAGGATATACTGTATCATGAAAAATAAGACCCAGTCTCTCCAAAGGTAATCAATAGTAGCAGTTTTTTTTTTTTTTTTAGATTCCTTCAAGAGATAATTCATGCATGCACCAGGAATTAAATCTATCTAGCTTTCCCTCCTCTTTTTACACAGCACAACCACTTTGGGTTTTGCACTTTTCAATTAAAAATGTGTCTTAGATATTGTCCACAGCAAAATGTAAAGAGTTTCTTCATTTCTTTTCTGTAATTACATAATATTCCATTGTATGAATGTACCACAATTTGTTTAACTGGCTGTTCTCAATTTTTGTTTCTAAATTTTCCAATTTAACCAGTGATGCAACGAATATTTTGCGTGTATATGAGGATGTCTCACATGTAAGTTGTCAATTTAAAGGGTTTTATTATAAGTGCTTGACACGTTTTAAATTATTAGTCTTTATTCTTAACATTTCTGTAAAAGTCTTGGTTAAGAACAATTTTAATCAGACTAATTAGGTCTCCTTTTATAGAAGCAAAGACGTTTAGCACTACACAATACCTTAGATATCACTAACTCCGATTCCTTATTTTATTAGAGTCTAGACAGTTTAATAAACTTGTTCAAAGTCACACAGCAATTTGTGTGGGTCCAGCAGAAAATCTAGGTTGCCTGATTTCACTGTTCAGTGCTTTTTCTGCTTCCTCATACTATTGATAGGTATACTAACTTAAACTTTAGCAAGGCTTCTTCTCTTAAAAACTTTATTTTATGATTATAAAACTAATATATAAATTATTAAAATAACCAAGAGATAGTTGAAATTCCTTTAGTCATAAACATTGGAAGTTCAAGTCAAGCAATTTTAAGCAGAAAAAGGGAAGTTGGCTCATGTACCAGTAAATCCCCAGGTTTGTCTTGCTTCAGGCATAGCTGCATCCAGGTGCTCAAACATAGTGAGAGTAGTGAGGGCTACATGTCTCTTTCTTTCTTTCTTTCTTTCTTTCTTTCTTTCTTTCTTTCTTTCTTTCTTTCTTTTCTTTCTTTTCTTTCTTTTCTTTCCCTTCCTTTCTTCCTTCCTTCCTTCCTTCCTTCCTTCCTTCCTTCCCTCCCTCCCTCCCTCCCTCTCTCTCTCTCTCTCTCTTTCTTTCTTTCTTTCTTTCTTTTTCTTTCTTTCTTTCTTTCTTTCTTTCTTTCTTTCTTTCTTTCTTTCTTTCTTTCTTTCTTTCTTTCTTTCTTTTCTTTCCTTTCCTTCCTTCCTTCCTTCCTTCTTTCTTTCCTTCTTTCTCTCTTCCTTCCTTCCTCCCTCCCTCCTTCCCTTCCCTTCCCTTCCTTGCTTCTTTCTTGCTTTCTTTCTTTTTCTTTCTTGCTTTCAACAGGATCTCACTCTGTCACCCCAGCTGCAGTGGCACAATCACAGCTCACTGCAGCCTCAACTTCCCCAGATGGCAGCAGGCAAAGAGAGAGCTTGTGCAGAGAAACTCTTGTTTTTAAAACCATCAGATCTCGTGAGACCCATTCACTAGAATGAGAACAGCATGGGAAAGACCCACCTCCATGATTCAGTTATCTCCCACTGGGTTCTTCCCACATTGTGGGAGTTAGGGGAGCTACGAGATGAGATATGCATGGGGACACAGAGCCAAGCCATATCATTCCACCCTGGACCCTCCCAAATCTCATATCTTCACATTTCAAAACCAATCATGCCTTCCTAACAGTCTCCCAAAGTCTGAACTCATTTCAGCATTAACTCAGAAGTCCACAGTCCAAAGTCTCATCCGAGACAAGGCAAGTCCTTCCATCTATGAACCTGTAAAATTAGAAGCAAGTTAGTTACTTCCTAGATACAATGGGGGTACAGGCACTAGATAAATACAGCCATTCCAAGTGGGAGAAATTGGCCAAAACAAAGGGGCTACAGGTCCCATTCAAGTTTGAAATCCAGCATGACAGTCAAATCTTAAAACTCCAAAATGATCTCCTTTTACTCCATATCTCACATCCAGGTCATGCTGGTGCAAGAGTTGAGTTCCCATGATCTTGGACAACTCTGCCCCTGTGGCTTTGCAGGGTATAGCCTTTCTCCTGGCTGCTTTCATGGGCTGGCATTGAGTGTCTGCGACTTTTCCAGGTGCAAGGTGCAAGCTGTCAGTGGATCTACCATTCTGGGATCTGCAGGATGGTGGCCCTCTTCTCACAGCTCCACTCAGTGATGCCCCAGTAGGGACTCTGTGTGGGGGCTCCCACCCGACATTTCCCTTTCACACTGCCCTAGAAGAGGTTCTCCATGAGGACCCCACCCCTATAGAAAACTTCTGCCTGGGCATCCAGGCATTTCCATATATCTTCTGAAATCTAGGCAGAGGTTTCCAAACTTCAGTTCTTGACTTCTGTGTACTCACAGGCTCAACACCACATGGAAGCTGTCAAGGCTTGAGGCTTGCACCCTCTGAAGCCACAGCCTGAGCTCTGCATTGGCCCCTTTCAGCCACAGCTGGAGCAGCGGGGACACAGGGTACCAAGTCCCTAGGCTGCACATAGCAGAAGGACCCTGAGTCCAGCCCACAAAACCATTTCTTCCTCCTAAAGCTCCGGGCCTGTGATGGGAGAGGCTGC